GGACCGACACAGACGGGCGGCGTCAAGTTCCCGCGTCCCTCTGCCAATGCCCCTCCCCCTTCCCAACACTAACGAAAATGAAGTAACGAAACAAATCATTAACTGCTCTATGACTGGAACCATTTCAAATGTATAGATCAGCCATAGTATTTACATATGAAACATACTTAACATGCAGATACTATCATAAATTTACTCTAAATGCCACTAGACATGAAAACTTGTATTTACAATCGCTAATTTTACAGGACATATTGTTAATAAACGCTTTATTTCTTTTGTAAGGGCAACCGAAGTTTTCCCCCATTCTTGTTTTTTTGTTTTTTGTTTACATCATGGCGCAGTCAGTTAGCAGACTGTGAATGTATAGTTAGTAATGTTTGCTGTTATTATTGTTTGTTACTGTTCTAAGCTTAAATCAGCTGATTCGCTCCGTAATTTATACCCATCATAAATCAAATCATTTATCAGAATTGAAACACTGGATATTCGGGTTTTCATTAATAAAGTAAAATTAATGAAAGATGGTTTGGTGGGCACATTCACATTCGTCTTTCTTTAGACTTTAGGAAGTCTGTCGTGAAACTTTAACACTAACTACAAGTTACCAAAATACTGCCAGTAATCTTTGAAATAAAATTAGTCAAAATAATAAAACACTCTCCTACCGACTACTGTAAACTCAAAAGCACTAACGTTACTAACAAAATGAAGACTCAAAAGTAATAAATTTACGCTATGAAACGTCACCAAACGTAAAAGTAAAAACAAAGGACGCTTCAACTCCTCTTGACGTGTTACTGAGGGGTTAAGCATCAGAGGACCAAAAAGTGTTAATGAACTTTTGAAATTTCAGGAGTATAACACATTAAAACGACATACTAGTGCAGCTGTTGGGTTACATACATATAGACATCAAAGTGACCAGTGAATGTTAAGGAGTAATTAGAATGCTGCAATAACAAATGATTGTGTTCATAATCAGATATTAGTAAATAGATTACATGTTTAGAGAAGTTAGTACAATGAAATAACAGTTCTTCCATTTACTGTCATGGTGTTTAAGGAAAACTTGATAGAATTTATCCAAAATGAGTCACCGACCAACGTGAACTACTGATTTGATGTATAAACTATAACACAATCTGTATATAAGATGTTGTTCCAGAGAAACTTGAAACGTCATCACAAAGCACCATATTCCTTCTTAGAGTCCATGCTCTGTGGCGTTGGTAGTTGTGTCTGTCCACAACCTGATATCTCGTTTACTTTTAGTCAGCTCTCACGCATGATCCTCAATGTCAGACTGTCCAGCATCTTCTCTCTTGGTATCCCTTTTCCCCTTTTCCCCTCCAGCATTGTCACCGTCACAGTGTACTCCAGTGTATTCCTTCTCATGACATGACCCAAAACTGTAGTCTTCTTCTGATACGGACAATCAGTTCTATTGTCTCCTTCTGATGTGGACAGTCAGTTCTATTGTCTCCTTCTGATGTGGACAATCAGTTCTGTTGTCTCCTTCTGATGTGGACAATCAGTTCTATTGTCTCCTTCTGATATAGGCAATCAGTTCTATTGTCTCCTTCTGATATGGGCAATCAGTTCTGTTGTCTCCTTCTGATATAGGCAATCAGTTCTATTGTCTCCTTCTGATATAGGCAATCAGTTCTATTGTCTCCTTCTGATATGGGCAATCAGTTCTGTTGTCTCCTTCTGATATGGGCAATCAGTTCTATTGTCTCCTTCTGATATAGGCAATCAGTTCTGTTGTCTCCTTCTGATATAGACAATCAGTTCTATTGTCTCCTTCTGATATAGGCAATCAGTTCTATTGTCTCCTTCTGATATGAGCAATCAGTTCCATTGTCTCCTTCTGATATGAGCAATCAGTTCTATTGTCTCCTTCTGATATAGGCAATCAGTTCTGTTGTCTCCTTCTGTTATGGGCAATCAGTTCTGTTGTATCCTTCTGATATGGGCAATCAGTTCTGTTGTCTCCTTCTGATATGGGCAATCAGTTCTGTTGTTTCCTTCTGATATGGGCAATCAGTTCTATTGTCTCCTTCTGATATAGGCAATCAGTTCTGTTGTCTCCTTCTGATCTGTTGTCTCCTTCTGATATGGGCAATCAGTTCTGTTGTCTCCTTCTGATATAGGCAATCAGTTCTGTTGTCTCGTTCTGATATGAGCAATCAGTTCTATTGTCTCCTTCTGATATGAGCAATCAGTTCTATTGTCTCCTTCTGATATAGGCAATCAGTTCTATTGTCTCCTTCTGATATGAGCAATCAGTTCTATTGTCTCCTTCTGATATGAGCAATCAGTTCTATTGTCTCCTTCTGATATAGGCAATCAGTTCTATTGTCTCCTTCTGATATAGACAATCAGTTCTATTGTCTCCTTCTGATATAGGCAATCAGTTCTATTGTCTCCTTCTGATATAGGCAATCAGTTCTATTGTCTCCTTCTGATATAGACAATCAGTTCTGTTGTCTCGTTCTGATATGGGCAATCAGTTCTATTGTCTCCTTCTGATATAGACAATCAGTTCTATTGTCTCCTTCTGATATAGGCAATCAGTTCTGTTGTCTCGTTCTGATATGAGCAATCAGTTCTATTGTCTCCTTCTGATATAGGCAATCAGTTCTGTTGTCTCGTTCTAATATAGGCAATCAGTTCTATTGTCTCCTTCTGATATAGACAAACAGTTCTGTTGTCTCGTTCTGATATGGGCAATCAGTTCTATTGTCTCCTTCTGATATAGACAATCAGTTCTGTTGTCTCGTTCTGATATGGGCAATCAGTTCTATTGTCTCCTTCTGATATAGACAATCAGTTCTGTTGTCTCGTTCTGATATGGGCAATCAGTTCTATTGTCTCCTTCTGATATAGGCAATCAGTTCTGTTGTCTCGTTCTGATATGAGCAATCAGTTCTATTGTCTCCTTCTGATATGGACAGTCAGTTCTGTTGTCTCCTTCTGATATGGACAGTCAGTTCTGTTGTCTCGTTCTGATATGAGCAATCAGTTCTATTGTCTCCTTCAGTTCTCTTTGTGAGTCGGTTGCTATCAAGACATTTTCATGACACTCTCTATCTGTCTGGTGTATTCTCATCATTCGTATATAAAACCATTACTTGATATTAAAAACAAACGATTTCTCAAAACATTATCGTCACACAAAAATAACTATATAACACTTGAATTGCACACAGTTTTGTAGTTATGTTCCTAAATAATAAGGTTATAGAACCAGAACCTACTGACACTGAACAAAATGCCTTTTCACTCATGTGTATTATTTTTGTGCCAGCTGACTTTGTCATCAATGTATGTTTCTATGAGGTACATAATGGAGCTATCCCTCATTAAAGCTTGACCAAATAAATAACTGCAACAAGTCTGCTTCACTAATTTCTTCATCTGACTTTACATAAATACTGAGCAACACTGTTTTATTCATATATATTTATTTGTCAGCCATGTTGTTTTCAAGCAACACAAACATGCTATATTTTATTCTTTTAACCCTATTTCTAAATAAACTTTATTACTTACTTGTTACTTTTCTGTGTTGACCCATTTGTGCTCCATCTTCCTAGGCAGCAGCCATCTCAGTGTCACAGTACAGAGTGTATCCAGTAGGAGTTGACTGGTATATCTTCTGCCTTTGACTTGACCCATTTGTGCTCCATCTTCCTAGGCAGCAGCCATCTCAGTGTCTCAGTACAGAGTGTATCCAGCAGGAGTTGACTGGCAAATCTTCTGCCTTTGACTTGACCCATTTGTGCTCCATCTTCCGAGGCTGCAGCTATCTCAGTGTCTCAGTACTGAGTGTATCCAGTAGGAGTTGACTGGTATATCTTCTGCCTTTGACTTGACCCATTTGTGCTCCATCTTCCTAGGCAGCAGCCATCTCAGTGTCTCAGTACAGAGTGTATCCAGCAGGAGTTGACTGGCAAATCTTCTGCCTTTGACTTGACCCATTTGTGCTCCATCTTCCGAGGCTGCAGCTATCTCAGTGTCTCAGTACTGAGTGTATCCAGTAGGAGTTGACTGGTATATCTTCTGCCTTTGACTTGACCCATTTGTACTCCATCTTCCGAGGCTGCAGCTATCTCAGTGTCTACATACTCAGTGTATCCAGCAGGAGTTGACTGGTATATCTTCTGCCTTTGACTTGACCCATTTGTACTCCATCTTCCGAGGCTGCAGCTATCTCAGTGTCTACATACTGAGTGTATCCAGCAGGAGTTGACTGGTATATCTTCTGCCTTTGACTTGACCCATTTGTACTCCATCTTCCGAGGCTGCAGCTATCTCAGTGTCTACATACTGAGTGTATCCAGCAGGAGTTGACTGGTATATCTTCTGACTTTGACCTGCAACTGGTTTCTACATGCTTGTTCTCATTTAATACTTATTTCTAAGAAGTGGTTCATCGTCTGTGATTCCTTTGTCTCTGGAACGCAGCACATTTAGTATATGCCTTTTCCATACTTCTTCCTCCACCAGCCACTGCAGACATGGCCGGTGTGTCAGTTCTTTCATTTCCTTGTACCCGGGCATGTATAGCCAAGATAGTTTCTCAGAGTTTATCTTGTTCTTGTTCTACCTCCTGTTCTACATCCTTCTCCATTTTTTGGTGTATGGAATGGCATCACAAGGCATTTTCTCCAAGTGGGCAAACCATTTGATTTGCTGTCTTTGTATGTAATTTAGAATTGGTTCTGTGCCGACTTTTTCACTTATGACCTCATTTTATCACTTCTGGTCACTCCTGCCGCCCTTTATAGACAACACTTTTGCAGATGTAAGCAGCCTTTTCATTTAGTGTTAAGAATGGTGGCCAAGAAACAAGAAAGGCTTAATGTTGTATATCTGTTAGATGAATATTTGTTGAAGTGTTCTGATGTGACCTAATTTTTTTCTATTTTTATTTGGTTAATTTGAGTTTTAATTCTCAATTCGTAACAGTATAAGAGGAGCATGTTTTGACAATGGAGAAGTATGAAATAATAAAGAGACTTGCTGTCGGGGCACATGGAGCAGTTTACCTGATTAAGCAGGTATCCACAAAGAAGTGAGTATATAAGAATATGTGTAGTATATATGTTCCATCTTTTCCCTCACTGAGGCATCATTTAATGTTGTTCAGCCCTAGAGAGGAGGGGGTTAGAGACACAGTGTCAGTTTCAGATTATTTTCATATTCACAGCACTAGTTTTGTAATCACATTTACATGTCCAGAAATCTTGACCCACTTACCTGTCTTAAGACTCTTCTTCTTCTTGTCATTCTTCTCACCTGTGGTTTTCAGGTGAGAGTTCTTGTGGCCTCCACCTGTGTCTTGCACTGATCTGTACAGTTTAATTGTCATTGGAATGCTGACCGGCCAGACCTGGGATCACTTTAATTCAAGATAAAACTCGCTCAGAGGATTTGATCATTTACACAGACAGTTCAGTGTCAGGAGACAAAAGAAGTGCTTGTGGTTTCTTAGCAAAAGTTAATGGTCGACGTTTGGCGTAGGAGAGCCTAGCATATGATACCACAACATCCAGCTTAAGAATGGAGGTGGAGGCGGTCACTGCAGCTTTCCATAGTGTAGTGAGCATGTGGGTAGCACATGTGCAGTATTATGTGGGCTGGGGGATGCTTGTCCACATGGGCACAGCTCTGAGTCCCTATCTTGAATTTCCTGTACTATGGCTGTGCAGTCTATTGTGTCCAATTCACAGTCTAAATACATTAGTCCGTTGTTGCATGTGAGGAAGTTGATAGAATCTCCGGGATTGTTTTATGGGTGTGAAGTGTTCTAGTGTTTCTAATGACTGCCTTCATCCTAATAAGTGCTCCCTGCATCTGGCTGTTCTGTATTACTGCTGATTTTGGCTAAGTAGTCTGTTCTTTCATGTCCTGTTGCAGTGGCTTTTTGATCTACTGATTAACAGTCTGCTTGGTCAGCTGACCTATTTGATTCAACAGAGATGTAAGCTTGTTTAAATCTAGTAGCTTATGGCTGTGTATTTCTTGCAATCCTGAGCAAGAATCTGTTAGCATAACCACTTCAGACTCAGTGCCACATTTATTTAATATTGAACACCGCTTCTTCCACCTGACCTTCGCTTTGTAGTGTTTTCTCTCATCAAGCCTACACTTTTATATCACCATTGATCCACTCAGTATGCCTGGCTGGCTAGCGTAGTTGGTTAAACCTGACTTCGTGGCAACCGGGTGACTAACTCCTTGTGGTCCGTGTTCACGCTCTGGGGTTGGCAGAAAAACCACATTTCTCCCAGATTTACGGTATCTATCATGAAATCAAGGCTGAAGGGTTGCGATGTCCATAGTACCGAGCCAAAGGGTTCAGTCATGGTTTCTGGATGTTAAAAAAAAACACTCAGTATTGATTCCTTCTCCCCCCCCCCTCCCCTCCCCCACCCACTTCTCCCTCTCCCCCCCTCCCCCTCCTCCCTTACACAGCTTCTGTCGATGAGCCGTCCATGATACCCTTATCCACATGTTTTTGGAATAGTTTTGTTGTCATATTTGAATGTACATTTTGTACATGTCAAGGGAAGTCTGTTCACCTTTGCTCAGCATACCGTTCAAGGTGTCTCACATTTGTACTGAATATGACAGCAATCTCTTGTGAAGCTGGCTTCATACAGATCAGTTTGAGACCTATATTAGGAAGTCAGTGTGAGCAGATATTTGGATAACAAAACTCAGATATTATCCAAAGAAGTGGCTGGCCTCTTGCACTAGATTTGTGATCTGTATTAATATTTTTTAAACATTGAACACAATTCTGAATGTCTTTAGTTCAGTGCAGATTTAGTGGATCTGATTAGTAACTTGACCAGAGATATTGATATTTTTATATCTTACATCCCCATAACAACCGACAGCTTCTGACATGAATAGTTTACACACCCAGCTCTGATCTGTCTTGGTCTAGGAAAGGCTTCAAATCTCTACCAAAACTTACCTCCTGGCAAAATTGTCTGTGAAGCAAGATCTTCTGTGTGCTTCATAGCTGTCATCAATCACAATATTGAAACATTATTTAAGAAATCCTTTCAGTGCTACATCAACGCTGTCTATTAAAAAGAACAGAAGACATTGTTTCAGGGCACTTTGTGACAGCTCTTAGGTTTTATTTATCACGTACCAGATAATACAATATTTATTTCCCATCTTTATTACAGGTATTTTGCTCTGAAGAAAATTGAGGTTGATGAACGAAGGAAAACAAAAACAAAAGAAGCTGTGCTGAAGGAAGCCAGGTATGACAGTTATAAAATATATAAACTAAACATTGACAATAAACATTCAGGCTCATATCAAGAATGGAGTGAAGCAGGGATGTCTTCTCCTCCTACCCTCTGGAATAAACTTCTCATTCTTTTTGAAATATACTTTTCGAGATCAGGAAAGTGGTATATTCATCCATTCTCTGCAAGCCTTATAGGCTGAAGGTCAAAGGCAGGTACTTATCAGAGAGCTACTGTTTGCAGATGATGCAGCAGTTACCATGCACTTAAAAGAGGAACTCCGGTGTTTAAGTGGCTGGATCACACTTGGAGAGTGGAGCCTGTTAGAGTCCTTTATGATGAGCTGCAGATGGATGGAGGATGCCAAAGCTAGCCTCTGCTGCGATATGAAGATGTGTAGAAGTGGGACACGAATGATACAGGTATTGAAGTGGATCCATGGGAACAGCATGCCATAAATCATATTATGTGGAGGGGACAAATCAGGAAGGGAATGGGAATAAAGGAAAAATAATTACACACAAATCAGAACTGAGTGTGTGAGAGGAGGCACACTGGATGCATGTGATGGCGGCAGCAGTCAATCCCGTGCTCTTGTTGTGGGGGGCTTTTCTTGATGCGTTCAGGTCTTTTATGGTTACACTTGCCATCGCCGTGGTCTGTGAGCCCCATGCCTCCTCATGGCTGATGAGTCTGGAAAGATGGAAAGGTGCCAGCAACAATTCTGGTTTGAATCATCTATATATAATTTATTGTAAACCTAATAAAACATGAAAGCCGGGGTATTGTGGCATACATGCTTCCTGACCGAGTAGTCCTGGCTCGAATTGCCATTAAGGCAAGGATTGACAAAATAAAACCTGACCTGGGTTCCCCAGTTGACCCAGCCTAAAATAAGTGTCTGAAATGCTCTGCAAAGTAAAGCCAGCAGCATTATATGATCACATCAACTTTTAACTGCCAGTTGCTGTATAAATGTAGGGGTCTAGCCCTATATACCCTGTATGTTTCAGGGTATTGGAAAGAATCCTTTACTTGAAAAACAAAAATTCACACGGGTTCCTGTCTCTTGCATTCTAACTCTTACATTTCAGAATCATGTCACAGCTTCGTCATCCAAACATTGTCCTCTTCCATGAGTCGTTTCTGGACCCAGCAGGAGAGTATGTCTGTATTGTTTTGGTAAGCTGCTTTACTATGAGCTGTTTTCTTACTCGAGCATATGGGGGGTAAGCTGCTTTACTATGAGCTGTTTTCTTACGCGAGCATATGGGCGGTAAGCTGCTTCACTATGAGCTGTTTTCTTACCCGAGCATATGGGCGGTAAGCTGCTTTACTATGAGCTGTTTTCTTATGCGAGCATATGGGCGGTAAGCTGCTTTACTGTGAGCTGTTTTCTTACGCGAGCATATGGGCGGTAAGCTGCTTTACTATGAGCTGTTTTCTTACGCGAGCATATGGGTAGTAAGCTGCTTTACTATGAGCTGTTTTCTTTCGTGAGCATATGGGCAGTAAGCTGCTTTACTTTGAGCTGTTTTCTTACTCGAGCATATGGGGGGTAAGCTGCTTTACTATGAGCTGTTTTCTTACGCGAGCATATGGGCAGTAAGCTGCTTTACTGTGAGCTGTTTTCTTACTCGAGCATATGGGCGGTAAGCTGCTTTACTATGAGCTGTTTTCTTACGTGAGCATATGGGCGGTAAGCTGCTTTACTTTGAGCTGTTTTCTTACTCGAGCATATGGGGGGTAAGCTGCTTTACTATGAGCTGTTTTCTTACGCGAGCATATGGGCGGTAAGCTGCTTTACTGTGAGCTGTTTTCTTACTCGAGCATATGGGCGGTAAGCTGCTTTACTATGAGCTGTTTTCTTACGTGAGCATATGGGCGGTAAGCTGCTTTACTGTGAGCTGTTTTCTTACTCGAGCATATGGGCGGTAAGCTGCTTTACTATGAGCTGTTTTCTTACTCGAGCATATGGGCGGTAAGCTGCTTTACTGTGAGCTGTTTTGTTATGCGAGCATATGGGCGGTAAGCTGCTTTACTATGAGCTGTTTTGTTATGCGAGCATATGGGCGGTAAGCTGCTTTACTATGAGCTGTTTTCTTACTCGAGCATATGGGCGGTAAGCTGCTTTACTATGAGCTGTTTTCTTACGTGAGCATATGGGCGGTAAGCTGCTTTACTGTGAGCTGTTTTCTTACTCGAGCATATGGGCGGTAAGCTGCTTTACTATGAGCTGTTTTCTTATTCGAGCATATGGGCGGTAAGCTGCTTTACTGTGAGCTGTCTTCTTACTCGAGCATATGGGCGGTAAGCTGCTTTACTATGAGCTGTTTTGTTATGCGAGCATATGGGCGGTAAGCTGCTTTACTATGAGCTGTTTTCTTACGTGAGCATATGGGCGGTAAGCTGCTTTACTGTGAGCTGTTTTCTTACTCGAGCATATGGGCGGTAAGCTGCTTTACTATGAGCTGTTTTGTTATGCGAGCATATGGGCGGTAAGCTGCTTTACTATGAGCTGTTTTGTTATGCGAGCATATGGGCGGTAAGCTGCTTTACTGTGAGCTGTTTTCTTACTCGAGCATATGGGCGGTAAGCTGCTTTACTATGAGCTGTTTTCTTACGTGAGCATATGGGCGGTAAGCTGCTTTACTGTGAGCTGTTTTCTTACTCGAGCATATGGGCGGTAAGCTGCTTTACTATGAGCTGTTTTCTTACTCGAGCATATGGGCGGTAAGCTGCTTTACTGTGAGCTGTTTTCTTACTCGAGCATATGGGCGGTAAGCTGCTTTACTATGAGCTGTTTTCTTACTCGAGCATATGGGCGGTAAGCTGCTTTACTATGAGCTGTTTTCTTACGTGAGCATATGGGCGGTAAGCTGCTTTACTGTGAGCTGTTTTCTCACTCGAGCATATGGGCGGTAAGCTGCTTCACTATGATCTGTTTTGTTATGCGAGCATATGGGCGGTAAATTGCTTTACTGTGAGCTGTTTTCTTACTCGAGCATATGGGCGGTAAGCTGCTTCACTATGATCTGTTTTGTTATGCGAGCATATGGGCGGTAAATTGCTTTACTATGAGCTGTTTTGTTATGCGAGCATATGGGCGGTAAGCTGCTTTACTGTGAGCTGTTTTGTTATGCGAGTGGTAAGCTACTTTATGGTAAATGGGATGTAGTTAAGGCCCTCTGCAGTCAAATAAACAGTGCAACAGAACAGACAGAACATCCCTATGCGGAGAGAATGATTCAGCTGGGAGCGAACAAATGGTCTGGACGACTTTCTAATGGCAGGGGCAAACTTTTAGTCAGGTTACAACTGGCACCATCATTATGGGAATTCTTCATTGGTAACTGAAGAGGGAGACAGAACATGTATGGCAGTTCCTAAATTCAGTGATGCCCATTCATTCATTTATGTAAGCTGATTGTCAGCATTTATAACAGATGGAAAAGAGACAAAGAAACCTTATACACAGATGGACTAGAGACATCAGAAAGTCTGCCTGTGTCACTGGATGGCTTTCACAGGCCTGCCATTCATTCAGATAAGCTGCTGTAGAGATAGTGTTCCAAGCAAGTTATAGATATCAGTGCTGGAACAGTAATGTAACAAAATCCCCTATTGTGTACAAATAGGTGCGCAGGCAGGGAAATGGATGAGATTTTAAAATGTTGAAAAATAGTAAAGCTTTGTCAACTGTTTGTGTAACTGTATTTAAAGATGAATTTTTCACTGTTTACATGCATTCTTGTTCTGTTTTAAGGATTATTGTGATGGTGGGAATTTGGGAGAGAGGATACAGGATGCTTCTCAGGTGAGTTCTGCCAGATAAATAAGTCTTGTGTCACAGAGATGTCAGAGGATGTGTGGGAGAGACGTAAATAGGGGTGTGGGGGATAAAGAAATAGGTGTGTGAGAGAGAAGGACATTTGTGTTTGAGAGGAAGTAAATAGGTGTGTGAGAGAGAAGGAAGTAGGTGTGTAAGGGAAGTAGATGTGTGAGGGAGAAAGATATAGGTGTGTGAGGGAGAAAGATACAGGTGTGTGGGAGAACAAATGAACGAAGAATGAAGTTTTTCTTTTTCAAAACGACACAAATTGGGCACACGGGCCCTCTTTCTTTCGGCCTTTCCAAACATCCATCTTTCACACAGCAGTTGTAGTTTATCAATAAAGCATATTATGTTCATATTATAATAATATGCATATAATGAATATCAAGCAAATACACACACAGAGAGAGAGAGAGAGAGAGAGGGAGAGACAGAGAGAGAGAGAGAGAGAAGGACATAGGTGTGTGAGGGAGAAAGAAATAGATGTGTGGGAGAGAAGGAGATAGGTGTGTGAGGGAAATAGATGTGAGAGTGAGAAAGAAATAGATGTGTGGGAAAGAAGGACATAGGTGTGTGAGGGAAATTGATGTTTGAGGGAGAAAGACAGAGGTGAGTGAGAGAAGGTGTATGAGGAAAATATATGTATGAGGGGAAAATAAATAGATGTATGAGAGAGAAGGAAATAGGTGTGTGAGGGAAATGGATGTGTGAGACGGAAGAACATTGATGTATGGGAAAGAAGGAAATAGTTGTGTGAGGGAGAAGAAAATAGATTTTTGAGAGAGAAGTGCTTAAATATGTGAAGGAGTTAGTTGTGTGAAGGAGCAAGAAATTAGTGTGTGGGAGAGAAGGAAATAGGAGGGAGAAAGAAATAGATGTATGAGAGAGAAGGAAATATGTGTGTGAGGGAAGTAGAAGTGAGAGGGAAAAAAAATAGATTTATGAGAGAGAGGGTGGAAGCATGAGGGAAATAGCTCTGTAAAGGGAGACATAAATGGACATGTGTTTAGGTGATTGTTTGCCAGAATGTTGTTATTAATGATCTTTGAGTTTAGGTAATTATTTCTTGAGAGATGTACCAATCACTAGTATGCACAAGACAAATATACACTTGTTTGTGGGTTCTGAGGCTGGCAGAGGCCCACTGTTTCAATACTCACCTTAATCTTTGTCTGGGGCATGTCAGCTTTGATGGAATGAAAGAGTTGATAGATGGACAGATTTTGTTATGGTTGCAGATGGCCAAACTATGTATTGTGATATTATTAATATAAATAAGATAATATAAAGATTTGGGAGCAATGTATCTGCAAAAAAAAAACAGCTTGAGAAAGTTGTCTGTCGGTGAGATGAAGGGTCCTGGCAGAATAGTTGAGACTAGATATAGTTTGATGAGTGTAGACTCAGTGACAGACGTTACGGACAGGTAAACAGAAAGAAATCTTTGTGTTGTAATAACTGACTGATATGTATTGTGGACAGGTAAACAGAAAGAAATCTTCACATTGTAATCAATAACTGATATGTATTGTGGACAGATCAACAGAAAGAAATCTTTGTGTTGTAATCACTGACTGATATGTCTTCTTCTTCTTCTTCGCGTTCACCAGCTGTAAACTCTGGCGGAAGGTTCTGGTTGCTCGTCCACTACTGAACTGCAGTCCTGCTCCAGAACCTGAGTGTTGCGTGAGCATCAGTTTTACAGATCTCATTCTCTTGAATACAGACTGTTGGTTCCTTACCTCTCCGGCAGATGCACTCCGACTTCAAAGGAAGCTCCCCAATTAGTCGACTCTTACGACATGCTTTTGGGGAGGCAGTGGGTCTATTCTTGTTTTCCCCACCATGGGGCCCCGGAACCCACACAGGGGGACTGATATGTATTGTGGACAGATAAACAGAAAGAAATCTTTGTGTTGTAATCACTGACTGATATGTATTGTGGACAGGTAAACAGAAAGAAATCTTTGTGTTGTAATCACTGACTGATATGTTTTGTGGACAGGTAAACAGAAAGAAATCTTTGTGTTGTAATCACTGACTGATATGTTTTGTGGACAGGTAAACAGAAAGAAATCTTCATATTGTAATCACTGACTGATATGTATTGTGGACAGATGAACAGAAAGAAATCTTTGTGTTGTAATCACTGACTGAAATGTATTGTGGAAAGGTGAACAGAAAGAAACCTTCGTGTTGTAATAACTGACTGATAGGTTTTGCCTCCCCAGGCATAGATACCTTAGAGATTAACTCATCTGGCAACACATAATTAGCAAATGTAAAATAAGGAAATATATTAAATCTGTTGCAGTAAAAATTTAAAGTATCTCGCATAATGTTATAGTTACTTGTTTTAAAACTGGAAAAAAAAAAATTTCTGCTATTGGCATGAAAAGAAAAACAATAACCCCTTGAAACTTAGTATTCCTCGACTGTTTATTATTGTTACGGGATCTCTCTATAGGGAATTCCATTCCTTTCAGCTGATATTGCACTGCTGACATCATGTTTAATGTATCAACTGTCTCATCATACCTAGAGTATTAACAGTCATTTATTTGTAAATTCACTGTAGTGTACTGGATTGTTTTTTCCCTAACAGACTGGCTTATCGTTTTCAGAGAAATTCACTGTAGTGTTTTTTCCCTAACAGACTGGCTTATCGTTTTCAGAGAAATTCACTGTAATGTTTTTTCCCTAACAGACTGGCTTATCGTTTTCAGAGAAATTCACTGTAGTGTTTTTTTCCCTAACAGACTGGCTTATCGTTTTCAGAGAAATTCACTGTAGTGTTTTTTCCCTAACAGACTGGTTTATCGTTTTCAGAGAAATTCACTGTAGTGTTTTTTTCCTTACAGACTGGCTTATCGTTTTCAGAGAAATTCACTGTAGTGTTTTTTCCCTAACAGACTGGCTTATCGTTTTCAGAGAAATTAACTGTAGTGTTTTTTCCCTTACAGACTGGCTTATCGTTTTCAGAGAAATACACTGTAGTGTTTTTTCCCTTACAGACTGGCTTATCGTTTTCAGAGAAATTCACTGTAGTGTTTTTTCCCTTACAGACTAGCTTATCATTTTCAGAGAAATTCACTGTAGTGTTTTTTCCCTTACAGACTAGCTTATCATTTTCAGAGAAATTCACTGTAGTGTTTTTTCCATTACAGACTGGCTTATTGTTTTCAGAGAAACAAGTTATGCAGGTAGTATACTGTGTTCGTTTAAAGTCTTTAACATGAAATTTATTGGCAAATTAAAGATTCCTCTTGGAAATTGTGGAAGGTACATGATATATCATCATCCTGTCAAACTCTGAGATCCGCTGAGAGAGACAGAGCATATTAGAGCTTGTCCAGAGTGCAGTAGTGTTGACCCCTGCTAGTCAGTAATGTGTCGGCCAGCAGTACCCTGTTGTATGTGCAGTGATCTAACTGTGACCTCACAATTGTATCCTTCAGTTTAGCTTTCTCATCATCTAGACATCTGTTACATCTCAGCACTGCAGCTCTTCAGTGATCATCTGTAACTTCAAGACTGCCTTGAATACAAGTTGTCTTAATATGGAGGTGATGGTGGTAACAAAAGGAGTGACCTGGCTAGAGGCACATATTTTTCTCCAGCCTGCTTTCTGATTCCGTGAACTTGCTTAAGAAGACTGTGACAGGATGGATTTAAAGACAGTGGTTGGAGTCTGACAAGAATCAGTTTCACTTTTGTACCAGAACATTCTGGGATAAGGGGGAATGAATGAGCTGATTGGCTTGCTGGCATGGCCACAGTAGGCCCAGGAAAAGCAATGAGCCAGGCTGATGTTTTCAATGCTCTCAAAGAGGCAGGGGAGCAGATGATTCAAGAGATGACAGTGAATGGCAACCTTGACAAGACTACAACAACTTCATATCAAATGAGGTGCTGCCAGATAAGAACAAACTGCAGGTAGCCACACAAGAATAGTAAACTGACACAGAACTGGTCTTATTAGTGACCACACGCTGAAGGAGATACCGAAAATAGGATCCGAGCTGAGCGCTTATAGGCTTGTCTGATGTGCATTGGGGATGATTAACTAACTAATCTGTCACTGAAATATTCAAATGCTGGTACATTGTGAACAGCATGTTTTTGCTCCGTATCCATCGACACCATAATTTTCAGTACATTGAGCCTCTCTTGGCATTTTGCTGCAACTACTTCCAAATGATTCCTAGGTGACAAATAGCCAGGTACCTCAGTTTCCTTCTCTTTTGATGTTTCTGTTGTTAATTGCAAGGTTTGGTACATCAACTCTAACAAAGCTGTTGTCCCAAGAGCACCATAAAACCTGCCACCCTTTCTGGGTTGATGACAGCATTCATCTCCTTACACCAGCCAGTCACTCTGTCCACTGTTGTCTATAGATCTTGAACTGTCTGTGGCCTATCTTTTTCCCACAAGAACATCATCAGTGAATGTCAATATCTATCCTACCAAATTGTGGAAATCAACATTATTCTTAGGACACTATTATCTTCCAAGGAGGCAAATAGTCTGTAGTGTGGTAATTTTCAAAAAGCTTCCAGTTGTATTTACAGATGTTGATATTTTTTATTGGTTGTGGAAGTTGGTTCCACAGATGAGCTGCAGAGTATGCCAAGCTTGTTTTGTACAAGTCTCTTCTAGATTTAGGGATGTTTAGATGTTTGCTATGTCGTCCATTATACTTAAAGAATGGTCAAAGGTAATCTGGAGCATTTTTTAAAAAGATTCTGTTAATAAATTTGGCCTCATTGAAAAGTAGTAGTTTATGCAACAGTAGTAACTTAAGAACTTCATGCATACTGGAACTGTCTATTCCATGATTGTTACTGACTAAGCATACAGCTCTTTTTTGAAGTGCTCTAAGCCGTTTCATGACTGAACTTGGACAGCCATCCCATATTGTGGAACAGTAGTGTAGTTAAATATGGGAGGTATAGAATATCCTTCTGGTGTTTTCATCCAGGAAGTGTTTAATATTAGCAAGCTGGTATACTTTTGTAGCTGTTTGTTTCACTAGAGCTTGCACATGAGAAGTAAAGGTTACATTTCTGTCAATAATTATGTCTACAGCTGTGTGCTCAGTTACACATTCCACTGTGTTGTTACTGATGTAGAGTTAAAGAGTATTCTGTGCAATTCAAGAATATAGTTTTTGTCTTGTTGATATTAACATACATTTTGTTTAACTAATGTTTGTTTACATGCGATTTGCATAGCTCCAGGAAACTACATTGTTTAATTCCTGTTGTAAAGATGACTCTAGAATATCACACGTTTGAGCACTTGTATAGACTGTACAGTCATCTGCAGATAAGTCGCATGGCGACGACAGACATAAAGGAAGATCGTTTTAAAAAATGGCAAAAAATTGTCTGTAATGTTGTATGTGTCCGCCTTTCTACTGATAGACCCTGCCTCTTCTTCTAGGACTATGCCTTTCAGTACTGTACTGTTTTAAGCCATTGGAGCTTTTCAAATGACCAAAGTTTTCCAGTTTCCTAAACAGAAGTTGTTTCACTGTTTTCTAAGAAATTTTCTGTAACATTTAAATTCAAAGACATTTCTTTCTTTCTTTCTTTCTTTCTTTCTTTCTTTCTTTCTTTCTTTCTTTCTTTCTTTCTTTCTTTCTTTCTTTCTTTCTTTCTTTCTTTCTTTCTTTCTTTCTTTCTTTCTTTCTTTCTTTCTTTCTTTCTTTCTTTCTTTCTTTCTTTCTTTCTTTCTTTCTTTCTTTCTTTCTTTCTTTCTTTCTTTCTTTCTTTCATTTTTTCCCTAATTTGTTGATTGGAATTAATAAATTTTGTGATAGTTTTTGCTGTAAACATGGTAATTTATGCATGTTGGAAAATCAAATATTGTCAAGAAAATAGTTTCTTGCAGATTGTTTTATCAATTTTTTTGCAGTGGTTCATCCAGATTGTGATGGCTGTCCAGTATATACATTCCAAACATATTTTACACAGGTGGGACACCATTTGCTTATGTGTTGTTACAGTTTAGTGCTGCTCCTCCTGGTAAGACTGCTCCTCCTGGTTAGACTGCTCCTCCTGGTAAGACTGCTCCTCCTGGTAAGACTGATTCTCCTGGTAAGACTGATTCTCCTGGTAAGACTGATTCTCCTGGTAAGACTGATTCTCCTGGTAAGACTGATCCTCCTGGTAAGACTGCTCCTCCTGGTAAGACTGCTCCTCCTGGTAAGACTGCTCCTCCTGGTAAGACTGATTCTCCTGGTAAGACTGCTCCTCCTGGGAAGACGGCTCCTCCTGGTAAGACGGCTCCTCCTGGTAAGACTGCTCCTCCTGGTAAGACTGCTCCTCCTGGTAAGACGGCTCCTCCTGGTAAGACTGCTCCTCCTGGTAAGACTGCTCCTCCTGGTAAGACGGCTCCTCCTGGTAAGACTGCTCCTCCTGGTAAGACTGATTCTCCTGGTAAGTCTGCTCCTCCTGGTAAGACTGCTCCTCCTGGTAAGACTGCTCCTCCTGGTAAGACTGATTCTCCTGGTAAGTCTGCTCCTCCTGGAAAGACTGCTCCTCCTGGTAAGACTGATTCTCCTGGTAAGACTGCTCCTCCTGGTAAGACTGATCCTCCTGGTAAGACTGATTCTCCTGGTAAGACTGCTCCTCCTGGTAAGACTGCTCCTCCTGGTAAGACTGATTCTCCTGGTAAGACTGATCCTCCTGGTTAGACTGCTCCTCCTGGTAAAACTGATACTCCTGGTAAGACTGATCCTCCTGGTTAGACTGCTCCTCCTGGTAAGACTGCTCCTCCTGGTAAGACTGCTCCTCCTGGTAAGACTGCTCCTCCTGGTAAGACTGCTCCTCCTGGTAAGACTGCTCCTCCTGGTAAGACTGATCCTCCTGGTAAGACTGCTCCTCCTGGTAAGACTGATACTCCTGGTAAGACTGCTCCTCCTGGTAAGACTGCTCCTCCTGGTAAGACTGCTCCTCCTGGTAAGACTGATCCTCCTGGTAAGACTGCTCCTCCTGGTAAGACTGATACTCCTGGAAAGACTGATCCTCCTGGAAAGACTGATCCTCCTGGTAAGACTGCTCCTCCTGGTTAGACTGCTCCTCCTGGTAAGACTGCTCCTCCTGGTAAGACTGCTCCTCCTGGTAAGACTGATTCTCCTGGTAAGACTGCTCCTCCTGGTAAGACTGATCCTCCTGGTAAGACTGCTCCTCCTGGTAAGACTGATCCTCCTGGTAAGACTTCTCCTCCTGGTAAGACTGATTCTCCTGGTAAGACTGCTCCTCCTGGTAAGACGGCTCCTCCTGGTTAGACTTCTCCTCCTGGTAAGACTTCTCCTCCTGGTAAGACTGATCCTCCTGGAAAGACTGATCCTCCTGGTAAGACTGCTCCTCCTGGTTAGACTGCTCCTCCTGGTAAGACGGCTCCTCTTGGTAAGACGGCTCCTCCTGGTAAGACGGCTCCTCCTGGTAAGACTGCTCCTCCTGGTAAGACTGATCCTACTGGTAAGACTGCTCCTCCTGGTTAGACTGCTCCTCCTGGTAAGACTGATCCTCCTGGTAAGACTGCTCCTCCTGGTAAGACGGCTCCTCCTGGTAAGACTGCTCCTCCTGGTAAGACTGATCCTCCTGGTAAGACGGCTCCTCCTGGTAAGACGGCTCCTCCTGGTAAGACGGCTCCTCCTGGTAAGACTGATCCTCCTGGTAAGACTGCTCCTCCTGGTAAGACTGATCCTCCTGGTAAGACGGCTCCTCCTGGTAAGACTGATCCTCCATTCCGTTCTATCCAGTTTACCAGAATGAGATTCGTTTCTGCAAGTTTCAGGAGCAAATCATGTTTTACAGCGTGAGGAAGCTGACCCCAGGCCTAACCAACCCTCCTCCTTTCTCATCCGGGCTTGTTATTTTAGTTATTTGTTGGTGAACCAAATTTGTCGATGTTTTTTGACATCATTTATACGGTTCAAAAACAAGTTCGTGTTTTAGAGAGGGTGAGAACTTAGTCACAGCAACCCCCCTTTGCATGTATCAGTCCATTTCTGAGTGGCTCAGTGTTGTAATGTGAATGTTTGAAGTAATTTTTGCTGTTAGTTAGGCAAATCTTTGCTTTACATTTGTAATTGCTTGTGTTGAATTATTAATAGTTAGATTGTGTCTCACATAGTCTTGAACTTGAGTCTGCATCGAGGTGCGTTTTGTATAATTACTTTGGCTCTCAGGTTGACCCAGCTTAATTTTTTTTAAACCAAGAATGCATGTCTCTTAGTATTTTTCAAAAGTTTAAATGTTGAATTAAGAGTCGACATCACAGCACTCAGGACACTCCCATAAGCGCTCTGTCCCCATCTTTAGCAGCAAGCACAGTTCCAATTTTGATGGCCCCAGTAACTATCTGATTGTATATTCGTCTCACTTTTCCATTGAGTGTTGAACATCGGTCAGATCCCCTAGTAACTCCTCGCAGCACCATTCTCCTCAGACCATAATGATCTATTTGTACCTCCTCACTGTTCACTCGCTTCCAAAGGATCATCACATCATCCAGCTTGTCATACATCAGTTCACCACCAAGTGGTGCAGAACCACCCAGTCTATCTGCCTGCTCATTTTCCAACTCACCAGCATGACCTAGAGAAAATATTCAAAGGACGCTAACTACCTGAGACCTCTAAAGCAGTGCTTGCCACTCTGCACGGAGCATGCCTGTCTCCACCTATCTCAACATGCTCTGCGAGTCGGTTACAATCACGGCAAGTGTACACATGATTCTGAAGTCAGCGGAAGGCAGCAGTGACTGCCTCCACCTCCATTCTCAAACTAGACATTGTGGTATCATATGCCAGGCTTTGTTGCACTAAGCAATATCCGTTCTCTTTGGCTATGAACCCCTTTGCACTTCGCCTGCTTCTCAACACAGAGTCATCTGTAAAGATAATCACATCACCTTGATGATAATTGTCATGAATCATTTGTTGAACTTCTGATTCTGCAGCACCAGCTGACGAGTCCCTGCACTCACGACCTAGAGTGATTAGAACACTACCCACGTCTGATTCTGCAGTACCAGCTGACGAGTCCCTGCACTCTAGAGTGATTAGAACAGACCCACGTGATTAGCAGTACACTACCCCTGCACGTCTGAGTTCTGCAGTACCAGTACCAGCTGACGAGTCCCTGCACTCTAGACCCAGAGTGATTAGAACACTACCCACGTCTGATTCTGCAGTACCAGCTGACGAGTCCCTGCACTCTAGACCCAGAGTGATTAGAACACTACCCACGTCTGATTCTGCAGTACCAGCTGACGAGTCCCTGCACTCTAGACCCAGAGTGATTAGAACACTACCCAAGTCTGATTCTAGCTCTGACAATTTGACCCACTCCTCTCCTCGCCCAAATTTATCACGCCTACACACATGTCCAATTATATCTTCTGCATGCACCATTCAAGACCTTCCTCTTTTCAGTCTGTGAGGGTTATGAGGGGGGTTTTTGAAGGCGTCCAAAAAGGGTAGTGGCTCTCATACTCCAAAACCTTGTGCATTCTCACAGCTCTGATCTTGCTAGCTTTGGAAATCAAGACTGAGCATGGCATATGGTGACTCCCATGATCACCTAGGACACTTCATTTTTTATGTCTTGCACTGTTGACTGGGTAACAAACGACAAATCAATAGCCATGTCTGCATCACCAGGTCTTGTTGCCATTCTAGTTAGCCAGCCTTTGTTTATCTGTTGACTCTTCCAAATGTTTGCAGATATGACTAAAATACCTAAATGTCTCTTGTATTTCTTAAGCCACAAATCAATTATGATTAGTTGCAGTTATTAGCTAGAGCACTTCCTTACCAGCAGACGGTCCAGGTTCAATATCCAGTAGTTACAGGACCTTTTCCAGTCTGTACAACTGTGGGCTAAACCCAGACTCACGACATGGGTAATTCTCAGATATTTTCTGTCAGTTGAGATGAGTAGGGAGTGAGGGAGCTGGCAGCCCTACCCCATTATTTTGTGACCTAGCAGTATTTTTGAAGATCTAACGCTCCCCAGCTGTTGCACCTGTATGTGATGACCTTTACAGATGCACACATTTTTTAGAATCTGTTGTGAACAATTCTGGTATCCATATTTGCCAGAACTAAACCTTGAATCAGTAGGATAAAATAGATCAGTTTCGTGAGGAATATAAGTCCACAGGCTGTATTATTTTTAAAGACGACCACTTATTCTGTATAAGTGTGAGTGTGTGTGTGCATGCACGCATACATATGTGTGAGTATACATATGCATACGTGTCACACAGACAATTATCACTTGAGTTCTCATTGATCTCCTGTTCATTGTTTGAAATATGTCTGTTGTATCCTGTGTTAAAATTCGGTCTCACTGGGTTTTTTGTTTCGACTGTCAAGGCTGAGTTTAGGGTAAGGTACATTAGAAGATTCTTTATATTAGTTTACATTGGAGATTTTCCAGTAAATTTATGTGTTCATTGAACTGAGGAAACTAATTTCTTTCATTTGTAAGCCTATTTGATTTGTCTTTCAGAGATCTGAAAACAGAAAACGTACTGCTGAACAAGAGGAATGTTATTAAATTAGGTATAACAGCTTTCATTTTTGATTACCATTGATGTCTTAAGTTCACTAATCCTTAATGTATGCTTTTGTGTATCCAGCTTTGTTAGAGTCTCTTTTTAAATGTTCCTTCGTGGTAATTTTCATCTTGCTTGACAGATTTTTGTTGTTGGTTTTTTTTTAAAATATTAGATTGTAGTAGTATTTGTCTTAGTTCATTTTCCTTGGAAAAGCTTGAGAGTGTTTAAAAAAAAAAAAAAATAAAGTTCCCTTTTCACGCCTTTCAGCGCATCGGGCATATGGGCAGAGCGTCCCATATTTTTTACAGACCATCAGCACTCTGTGGGTAATGTGGTCAGCATTACGCCGGCTGTCTTTACTTTCCCAGGACAGCCCATCCTGGTACCCATTTTAGGCTGGGTCGACCTGCGACGTCCCATACCACGACAAAAATCCACGCAGCCTGCAGTGGGTTTCGATCGCGGTATGCTGGCTTACGAGTCGGACTCGCAGCGCCTTAGCCACGGACGCCGCTTTGAGAGTGTATATGGTCAATAATATCAACTACTGTTTTTGAGTGGCTTGTGTACTTACTTAAAGTTGATAGCTAGTTTAATGAGAGTTGAAAGTTACACTTATTATGGAGTGTTACTGTTTGATGAATCCGTTTCATTATGTGCACATGGATGAATTTGTCTGTGGTGTTTCAACAGAAGTTATTACAGCAAGACATGTAACTGCAGTAGCAGAGTGGTGTCAGAGGAAAATGTTGGTCATATGTTCTATCTCCACTTCTTTCAACTTGGTGCTAGAGAAAATTATAAGGAAATTGAAAGAAGACTGTACTATAGGAGAAACTATGAGTTGCATTTTTTTTAAGTAAGTCCCGGTCTAAAAAAAAAAATAAACCATCATATATAAAAATAATTTATTGCAGCCAAAAGTGAACCAGACAATTACATTATTTATTAACATAGTCGATTTTAACTTTAACACATTTCTGGTATTGTGGCACCAGGTTCCTAATTCCAATGCCATCAAAGTCTGCCACCAGTGTCTTGAACCATTCATTAACGCCTGTCTACAATTCATCATCAGTTTCTAACCTCTGGGATGCCAGCCACTTCTTTAGGTGCATGAAAATGTGGTAATCACTTGGCTCGGTAATCACTTGGCTCGGTATTCACTTGGCGCGGTAATCACTTGGCTCGGTAATCACTTGGCGCGGTAATCACTTGGCTCGGTAATCACTTGGCTCGGTAATCACTTGGCTCGGTAATCACTTGGCTCGGTAATCACTTGGCGCGGTAATCACTTGGCTCGGTAATCACTTGGCTCGGTAATCACTTGGCTCGGTAATCACTTGGCGCGGTAATCACTTGGCGCGGTAATCACTTGGCTCGGTAATCACTTGGCGCCAGGTCAGGGCTGTAGGGCAGGGGGTCAACAATTTCTCTGTGAAATGTTTGCAACAATTCAACAGTTCCTTCTGCGACATGAGGTCCAGCATTATCATGTAACATTCCAGAGGACAGCAACCTCGTCTTTTGTTTTGGATGGCACACATTTTTTTTTAAATTCAAGGTTTCTTTTCACATTGTCGTAAATCACTGAATGTGAAACTTATGAAAATTCTACAAACGCAAAAATTGTGAAACAGACAATTTTTTTTTCCCACTTCTTCTACCAAATGGTCTGTCACCACACTAGGCAGACTGCTACAATCTTCATCATGGATATTTGTGTGCTCTTCTTTTACCATTTGACATTATTTCCTAACCATACTATCAGTCATAACATCTGACCCATAAACCTCAATGAGTTGCCTGTGAATTTCTGGAGCACAATTTATTTTTTATTTTTTTGGTAACAAAAAACAGATCACAGCACGAACCTTGCAGTTGGCGGGAGTATTTATTTTTGCAGCATCAAATAAGATTTCAGCAGTAAAAAAATAGCTAGCTAATGAATCACATAAACACACTGCATATGCACATTTACGTTTTCTATCGGTGTTTGTCGCTGCGGTTAAAACAGGACTTACTTAAAAAATGCACCTTGTACACAAAAACTTGATTATGCAGATGACTTGAAAATTGCTGGAGAAAACAAACTGGAGACAGTAAAATCACCGACTCTCTTCAAGGATGCAGCTCACAAAATGGGACTGTTTATCAATCAAGATAAGACAGAAAGCAAAAAGTGAAGGATACTTTTCCACTCCTTTAGACATATAGGGCTAGACATATTTTATTGACCAGTCGGAACTCGGTCAGTGATGTGGTCAACATCCCGCCAGCCGAAAATAAGACAGAATGCATGATAATAACAAGACATGGAAAAGATAAGAACTCCGGCCACATAAATGTTGATAATATAAAAATTAAACGAACGGAACCGGTAATGTATTTCAATGCGAACTTCAGCTTCTCCATCGTGCCGAGAGAAGGAATGTAGTCGAGAATACAGTGTACTGTGTGCTTAAACATCTGCTCAAGTCGAAGTCTCTGTCTCGCATCATTAAGATCAAAATATGTCAAACGTTGATAAGACCAGTTGTTTTATATAGCTCCAAAACTTCGAGCACAACTAAAAGAGATGAAGCCTTGTTACAAATTATTGAGGACAGAGCCTTACAATGAATCTTTGAACCCATCAAAGATACAAACTCAATAAACATATACCCAGATTGTGACCGGTACCATCAGTATTGAAACTCTGCGCCTGCTGCTGAAGATGAGGACTGAGCATGCATGGGAATGCCCTGAGTGCCGTGATTTCAATTCTTGACTTAACTTAACTCAACTCAACTCAAAGATACAAAAAGTGGGGAATGGAGAGTGAGAAGCAAAACAAAATTCATCATTTATTTAAATTACCATTGATCGCAGGCATCATGAGAGCTAATAGAATGAACAGGCTGAGGCATATTGAGTTAATGTAAGATGACAGAGAAGTAAAAACTGTATACACAAGGGAGCTGAATGGTCGTAGACCACGAGGCAGACCAAGAAGACAATAACTTCCAGACAGTCCTACAAACACTTGATGTCACCAACTGGAAAGAGAAGGCCAACCAGAGAGATAAATGGAGGTGGGTGAAATCTGCAGCAATGAACCTCAAGGTCTCTGTATGCTGAAGAAGTAGCATAGTGCCTGTCAGTACAAAGGTCTTGTGTTCCAGTCTACATCAAGACAAGATTTGTTTATTTTTTTATCATAGACTTTGGCAGCCAGATCGACCCAGCCTAAAATGGTATCGGATAAAGTCATGGAAGTAGAGGTGGCATGATCATATGCCAGTTGGTCTATAAAAATATAAGTCTAGCATCATATACCTGATATTCCACTGGCATGAAATTACTGATTTCATATTTTGTGTATAGAATATTTACTTTAAAATTCTTGTTGGCCCCTGGCTTGGTTCAAAACATAACAAAGAGAAGATAACTGTATTTTGATTTCTCTCTGATAGGTGACTTTGGAATCTCAAAGATTCTCGACAACACAATAGACGTTGCTAAGACTGTAGTAGGAACACCTTCGTATCTCAGCCCTGAACTGTGCCAGGACATTCCATACAACTCTAAATCAGACATTTGGGTAAGAACTGATCAGACTGGTCATTAGTTAGAGAATCAAATATATTTCTAAGAGTATTTCTAATATATAAATATATTTCTAAGAAGTCAGTTAAATACGGTCTGACTTTTTATTTTATTTTTAAAAACTAGGTTTTGCACCTTTTGGAAGTTAGCAAGAGATTCTTTTGAAGGAGTAGATAAGGATGTGCTGTGAGGCTGTCTAGAAAAGATATGGAGTTAGCAGACATCTTGTTTAAGTTTGTAAGAGTTTGTGTACGAGTAATGGTGTGTTCGAACACAATCGGATACATCCAAACATTTTGAAGTAAGTACACAGGGTTGTGTGCTATCTCCCCTACTTTTTCTAATGTACATTGACAGTATATGCACAGAAGCTGAGAGCAAAGAAGATGGTGATATTTCAAATTGTAGCAGAAACAGAAGAATCTCAAAAAACCATCTCAGTCCGTACCAAGTGCCAGAAATATGATATAAAAATAAGCTTAGAAAAGACAGGCAATGGTGATAGGCAGACAATCATAAATAATTTAAAAGTAAATAGCACATACATAAACCAAACAGGCTTATTTAAATATCAATGATCAGTTTTCACATGAGAAAGAGGAATGGATAGAGAAATAAACACATTATATGCTAAAGCAAACAAGGTACTGGGAGAACTAACACTTTAATACATAGAAGTACATCTTTCTTTGCCAAGGCAGACATAATAAAAACTATAAGAACTATTTTTTAGCCAACTTTATGCTGGCAGTTTCAGACTTGGACCCTAACTAAAGTTGATTAGCACAAAAAGATAATAACAGAGATGAGATGACTTAAGAGAGCTGTCAGAGTAACAAGTGATCCTAGTAATAACACAGAGGAAGTATTGGCTGGGGAAGAATTAAGTAATGCAAACAGTTTCAGGTTTTACAAATAATTCTACGTGGCTGTCTACATATTCTTACTTTTGACACTTAATGTCACGTCACATACATTTGTTTCTGCAGGCTGTGGGTTGCTTGTTGTATGAAATGTGTGCATTGTGTCCTCCGTTCGAAGGACAGAGTCTTATCGGATTATTTTTTAATATTGTCAAGGCTGAGTTCAGGGTAAGTTTAAGTGTTCTCAATAAAAAGATTCTATCTTAGTTGATATCAAATACAGTTACTCTAGATTATGTTGATTGCCAAATGGAATATTGCTTAGTGAAACTACAAACAGCCAACAGATGATGGGGTTCATTTGGAAACGATACCCGTGTGGGATCCGGGGCCCCATTGTGGGGGAAAACAAGAATGGACCCACTGCCTACCCAAAAGCATGTCGTAAGAGTCGACTAATTGGGAGCTTCCTTTGAAGTCAGAGAGGCAAGGAACCAGCAGTCTGCATACAAATGAGTCAGATCTGTAAAATGGATGCACACACAACACTCAGGTTCTGGAAAAGGACTGCAGTCCAGAAGTGGACGAACAACCAGAACTTTCCGCCGGAGCTTACAGCTGATGAACGTGAAGAAGATTTGGAAACGTCACCTAAAGGATATCTAACTGTTATGTTGACTGGGGGAAGGCAGTATGAAATGTGAAGTGTGCACAACTGGTGTGTGAATCAAGCTTGGCTATGTTTATAACACTTTCATTATTTGTACAATAACAAAGTGTATTTTAGGCAGATAATGATGTATGAAATGTTTACATCAGTAAGATGTTTGTGTGTGGTCAGTTAATTTTCTTAATTGTAATCTCTAATCCTATACAGCAGGGCTAATCAACTGGCAGCCTGTGGGCCAGATCTGGCCCATGGAAGCCTAGCAAGTGGCCCGCAAAACATTACCAGTTGAATTGTATTAGTGATCTTTCTATGCTGGTGCTCGGGCTTCTGGCCCCTGACTATACCTGATCTTCAAAATTATGGCCCCTGACTATACCTGATTTTCAAAATGTTGGCCCCTGACTATACCTGATTTTCAAAATTATGGCCCCTGATTATACCTGATTTTCAAAATTATGGCCCCTGACTGTACCTGATTTTCAAAATTATGGCCTCTGAGAAAACTTAGTTGAATAGCCCTGGCATACAGGGCCGTGAAATAACATGGCTGAGGCAGAAGATAGTATTGAAGTATTCTGCTTTCTGCTATGCTTTTGTTGACCATGTTTGTTCTCATTATGTAATACTGGTTTTGGTTTCACTGTTGTGAGGTCTCCTGATCGATTATTGAGCAGTGATCTTTTCTTTTTTCCGTGGTAGGTTTTTCAGACATCAGAACGAATCATATATAATCTTAGTATACAGCCATCATTTCATTGATAAAGTTATCTAGAGAGGACACACACACATGCATGTGTGCACACACAAGTATGCACGTGTGCGTGCGCACACACACACACACAACAGTTAGGAAAGAAAACTGAATCATTGGTCTCGTAAGTCTGTTAACTTGAGTAAATGAATGCTAAATTTGGGCGCATTGACCAGTCAAATGTAAAATTAGTTTCATACACGCCCCTCAAAAGAGGAACAAAGAAGAAGAAATGACTGGTGTTTTTTTGTGTATCTTGTAGCCGCTACCAGAGGAAACACCAACTGGCATTAAAGATCTAGTCAGCCAAATTTTAGTGAAGACACCAGAAGTCAGACCAAGGTGAGTATTTTATGTGTGCATATGTTGGTGGCATGTATCTATGGTGGCATGTATGTTGGTGGCATGTATGTTGATGGCATGTATGTTGGTGACATGTATTTTGGTGGCATGTATGTTGGTGGCATGTATTTTGGTGGCATGTATGTTGGTGACATAATGCTGCCGTATGTATGTTGTTGACATAATGGTGCAGCATGTATGTTGGTGACACATATGTTGGAAGCATGTATGTTGGTGACATGTATTTTGGTGGCAAGATGTATTATATGTGTCTGAATGTATGTTGGTGGCGTGTATCTATGGTGGCATGTATGTTGTTGACATAATGCTGCGGCATGTATGTTGGTGACACATATGTTGGAAGCATGTATGTTGGTGACATGTATTTTGGTGGCAAGATGTATTATATGTGTCTGAATGTATGTTGGTGGCGTGTATTTTGGTGGCAAGATGTATTATATGTGTCTGAATGTATGTTGGTGACATGTATTTTGGTGGCAAGATGTATTATATGTGTCTGAATGTATGTTGGTGACATGTATTTTGGTGGCAAGATGTATTATATGTGTCTGAATGTATGTTGGTGACATGTATTTTGGTGGCAAGATGTATTATATGTGTCTGAATGTATGTTAATTTAAGATGTAACTTATCCGGTTTGCTCATGTTTGTGCAGTCAACAGAATTATTGATAAAACCTGGAAATCAACAGTCTCATACTTTACATCTGCTCTAATGGTGCCGTGGCGAGCATTCTTTTTCCACTGCACTGGCTGACTTTTTTTGGGGGTCTGAGCACCCACTTTGACCCAGCCTAAAATTTGTGTTAGGAAATGTTTCTGGAACGTCAAGGCAGCCTGAGTGATTTTGATATCACTCATTGAGTGCCAGTTGGTCCTGTAAGCCTAAAAGTGTGGGGAAAGGTTCTTCACTTCATTTACATTATGCTGTTACATCCAAGGTTGAATCAAGTGTAATGTATTATATACTAGATTAAAGATAAATAATTGGCCACTGGAGAGGAGTATAGAGGCTAGCACACTTGCTCTTAATACTTCTATTATTCGTGTTGCAGGTTCCCACTGTAGCTTTGCTTTTTCTCCCCATTGAACTGGCCTCAATGGTCCAACCAGTTCAAATGGCTACTAGGAAATGTGAGGGTTTTAAGCAGAAAAAAAATTATGAAACAATGCTTTTTTACCCTGACATGTTGAATACGTTCATTATGGATATGTGTTAGCCTTTATCTCTCTCAACAGATACATCTGTGTAGCATTGACTGAAATTCTGCACCATTACTGGGCAGAGTTGTCATTGTCAGCATTGACACAGTACACACAGCAGTGTTGCAGATTCATGTTGGCAGCATTGCTACTTTCTAGATGCTGAAAACAGATCACATCCCACAGACTCCCCAGTTATCAGTAATGGCCACGGTGCAGTGGGTGTTTACGCAGCTGTTACTTGTGAGCGAGACAAGACTAGGACTGTAGGTTTGGATATAGCAGCAACTTAGAACGGGGGATGTCTAAGCATGTCCTAAGTGCCTTCTTTATTCATTTATATTTGTCATCTAGTACTGTTGTCACAGCGCTCAGGACATTCCCTTATGTGCTCTGTCTCCCTCAGATGATGGTGATGTGTGTGATTACTTATAGTTATAACTTCACTACACAGTGCTCTGCTTTGTCCTCTGCAACGATTCTTCCTGCTAGTGCTCAACTGTTTCCTGGTGCAACAGGTGATTTATTTTTTTTTATAGTACAAATATCCCTAGGCAAACCATGGTGCCCCTGCTGGTGGTTAGCCAGTTGGTTCTTTCATTCCCGCTGCCATGGCCTGGACAGTAAAGTCATTTAGCTCCCTGGACAGTAAAGTCATTTAGCTCCCTGGACAGTAAAGTCATTTAGCTCCCTGGACATTAAAGTCATTTAGCTCCCTTGTCAGTAAAGTCATTTAGCTCCCTGGACAGTAAAGTCATTTAGCTCCCTGGACAGTAAATCCATTTAGCTCCCTGGACAGTAAAGTCATTTAGCTCCCTGGACAGTAAAGTCATTTAGCTCCCTGGACAGTAAAGTCATTTAGCTCTAGTAAGTGTGGTAACCTTGTGAGTGATTTTATTAAATTATTAATACTATTTTTTTTATTTTTCTAGTGCCAGCGCAATACTGAATGAGCCTTATGTCAAGCGCCACTTGGCTTCCTTCATCGCAGACACAGAAAATATATGTTCCATTCGGAGTAAGAGGGATTTATCTTGTGTCACATCCGGAGGCGATAACCATATGTTGTCATCATCAGGGTAAACTTTTTTTAGTCATACGAGGGGAAGTCAGTAAGTAAGTCACAAATAACTGTTTTTTTTAAAAACTTATGGCGATAACTTAAAAACCATTTATTTTTACACATACATTGTCCCTTTATTTTTCAGCATAATTTCCACCAACATTGATGCACTGTCCCATTGTTTTATCAGTCCTCACACACATGCTGCATAGAACTGTGTGCTCTGTTTTCTATACCACATTTTTACTTCACATGCAACTTCTGCACCATTCGCGAAATGTCTCCTGCAAAGGTGGGTTTTCTGTGGACCAAAAAGATGGAAATCACTAGGGGCTAAGTCGGGACTGCAACGTGGATGTTCCAGAAGTTCCCACCCTAGATGGTTCATTTCCTCCAGAGTTAACTGAGCTGTATGTGGTCTAGCATTGTCAGGCAGGAGCAGTCTCCTCTAGTCAGCACTCTGGACGTTTTCTTTGCATTGCATCCTGAAGCGTCGATAGAACTTTACAGTATGAATCAGCATTCACAATGTCACCTTTTAAAAAAAAAATTTATTGGTTAAAAGCAGTCCTTGACATTCCCAGGACACTGTCAGCATAACCTTCCCTGCTGATGGCGTAACCTTGAATTTTTAAACATAAGGTGAAAAGGGATGTTTCCATTGCATTGAAGCACGCTTTTTTGGGCTGTTAGTGATGCACCCTTGATTTATGCTCAGTAGTAATCCTGTTCAGCATGTCTTCTCCTTCAGCTGCATATTCACAGAGATGCTGCAGGGAATGGCCTAATTGGTTCATTTAGTGTTCATGCGTCAATTGTCTGGATACCCACCTTGAGCACACTTTCTTAAATTCTAATTGATCATGCATTATTTTGTATGCTGAACCATGTGAGCACCCTATTGCAGCTGCTACAGAGTCAACCCTTACTCGTCTGTCACCTCTAATCATCTCCTCCACCTGCTGCACGGATGTGTCTGTTGCAATCTCAACAGGATGACCAGGTCGACTTCATCAACAATGAATGTCTTTTCCATGCATCCCCCCCCCCCCCCTTTCCCCCAATGCACAACAGCCTGAGGGTTCACTCCGTAAGTACAGTCGCCATTTTTTTCTGTGTTGCAAATTTGCCTGCAACACCTAGCACCACCTAACGAACGGAGACATAAAGTTCGATGTTACTGTCCCCTCAAGACACCTTTAGAAACCATCAGCTACATTCTCCTGCCATCTCTTAACAATTTGTGACTTACTTATTGACTTCCCCTTGTATATAATGAGACATTTTATTCATCTTAAAACATGGCACATTTATATACATCCAGTAGAATCTGTGTGAATCCATTGCAACATTCGCCTGTGAGACCTGGACACTTACTAAACAAGCGGAACAGCGCATAAATGCATTTGAATATAAATGTTACAGACAGGTTCTAAGAATATCTTGGGTAAAGAAAAGAACAAATGCATCCATACTTCAAGAGCTGAATATTGAAGAGGGTTGGCTAGTAAAGACAATAAAACAAAGAAAATTGAAATATTTTGGTCACTTGAAACGTCATGGAAGTCTAGAGAGAACAATAATGGAGGGGTATATGCCTGGGAAGAGAGGAAGAGAAAGGCCAAGGAGAAGATGAGTGCAGGATGTGGCAGATGATCTCCAGATGGGTGTAACAGACGCAGGACATCTTGCTCATGATAGGAAGGTTTTCCGGAGGGTTGTTATGGCAGCGAGGTTCCGCGAGGGACATGCTACTGAATGAATGAATGAGAATCTGTGTACAAACATTTATAAATGCTGTTAATCAAAGTACATTTTAGATATGTATATGGGAGTATATGCTGATAATCATAGCACTTGTTGCATACAACCACTGGCCTTCTCCAGAGGAGACATCCTGCACCAAATGGACCACAGTGTGTTTGATTAAATGCTAGACTTTGTGGCACTAAGCATCATCCATTGCTTTTGCTTTGAAAACCAAGATGATGCTTCTTTTTCCTCTGAACTAAAGAGTTAGTGTAGATCATTACAACACCTAGGGAAATAATCCTGAATCAGTTGTTTTTTTCAATGTCCACTCCAAGCCCAGTGTGACTGGAAACCTGGACCGGTCTAATTTTTCCTCAGACACTTTGACCCACTTCTCTCCTTGTCAGATGGTCTCAAGCATGCTGCATACTTGTCTGACTGTGTTCTGCTTGTGTCAACCTAAGTTTTTCTTTTAAAAAGGTGGCAATTGATAGAAGTGCTTAGCATGAATTGGTTGAGAGTCTATACTTTGTTGGGGGACATATTGTAGAAGAAGAACTTGTGCTGTGTATGAGAGAGAGAGAGAGAGAGAGAAGTGGGGGGGGGGGGGGGGGCAGAAGAATAAACGAGACCATGCCATTTTATTGTGGTCATGTGTGTGGTTTAGTTTTACATTTCAGAAAATGTCTTGTTATTCTTTGACAGGATAGTCCTAGGTAGCAGGGAACCAGTCACTTCAGCAAGTATTCTCAAACCTAAAGGCAACCCAAAAAAGCAGCTGTGTTGCTTTTCTCCACAGTGCACGACAGCCGAAGGTGGTGACCTTCAGTTTAATCAACTAACCAAGTCTACAGGTAAACGATTCTTCTCATTTTGACATTCACAAATGGGATTACCTTGGGTTTCCATCCTAGATTTGTCACACTTTATAATGGTTTAAGATTAGGTTTGAACCCAGCGAA